ATAAAATTTTAACAAATAGTTTTAAGATTTTATTTTTAAAAATTATTAATTGATTAAGATGTATATAATTGACAAACTTTGTTTTGTTCATATTATGTGTTAAAGATGATTTAAATTATCAAATAATATCATTTTTTCTAACATTCGTATTCGATTTACAAGCCCACATCTAAAACTATATGTGTAATCAATAATCAAATTATAGTTCTATTAGTTAACATTTTCTATTTCCTGGTTTGAATTAATTAATATATTATATTATTAATAATTTGTTTTTAATTATATTATATAATATTAGAATTCTCTAATTTTTAACATGTCATATTTTAAAATTACATTTTTCAGTTACCTTATTAATTAATTTTTGCCGAATATGATAAGCCGGTTCTAGACTAGTTTGCCAAATATGATAAACCGGTTCCAGACTAGTTTGCCAAATATTACCAAGGAAAGATAAATTAATTTTTATTCCACCTACAAATGAGAACCCTTGAAACTAATGTATATGAGAGAAAAATCATATTTTATGAAAGATATTTATATTTTAATAACATAATTTATATTAGAATTTTTAAAATGAAGAATCTGTTGGAAATAAATATAAATTTTCTTTGAATTTTGATTTTTCATTTTGAAAAATATGTTAGAAATGTTATAAAAATATGTACTTTTTATATATAAGAGTCTTATATTGAAGATGCTCACCTTATAGACTTTTGATTGAACTAAATGAACACGATTTAACATTCTTTTTAAATAGGAATGAGCTAATTACACCCATATAAATCTATTCTCATACATTAACATGACATATTTTTTTATACATAAATTAAAATAAGTTCTACCGTATTAAAAATTGTATTATCTATACTATATTATAAAACATTTGATCCTATCTCTTAAAAACAACTTTTAAATCATTATGTACTATCTATTGATGCATATTATTTAAAGTTTAAGATTACAAGTAAATTGTTCGAATGTACAACTTATTAAAGCTTCATGTTTGAATTTGTGTAACTAACTACAAATAAACATAATCAAATTCTGGATAAGTATATCATTTTAAATATAAAAATCTAAAATATATTTAAGATAATCATTGAATTCAAAATACTAAATATAATCTTTATAAAAGAATTATATTATTAAATTAAAAATAAATGACTTCATTATTAAATCTAAATCAAATTATTTATACTATATTATAAAGTATTTGTTAAAAACTCTTAAAAATCAAATTTATGCATTAAATATTGTTTATTGATCCATATTACTTACAATTCAAGATTACAAGTAAATTGTTCGTATGTACAACTTATTAAAGCTCCATATTTGAATTTGTGTAACTAACTACAGATAAACATAATCAAATTCTGGATAAGTATCTCATTTTAAATATAAAAAATCTAAAATATATTTAGTATAATTATCTATACTATATTATAAAGCATTTGATAAAAACTCTTAAAAACCATTTTTATGCATTAAGTACTGTTTATTGATGCATATTACTTAAAATTCCAGATTACAAGTTAATTGTCCGTATGTACAACTTATTAAGGCTCCATGTTTGGATTTGTGTAACTAAATACAGATAAATATAATCAAATTATGGATAAGTATCTCATTTTAAATATAAAAAATCTAAAATATATTTAGGATAGTCATTGAATCCAAAATACTACATATTATCTTTATAAAAGAATTATATTATTAAACTAAATTAAATTTATCTATACTATATTATAAAACATTTGACAAAAACTCTTAAAAACCAATTTTTATGCATAAAGTACTGTTTATTAATGCATATTACTTAAAACTCAAGATTGCAAGTAGATTGTGCGTAAGTACAACTTATTAAAACTCCATATCTGAATTCGTGTAACTAACTGCAGATAAACATAATCAAATACAGAATAAANATATGTATATATATCTATACTATATTATAAAGCATTTGACAAAAAACTCTTAAAAATCACTTTTGATGCGTAAATATTAATGCATATTACTTAAAACTCAAGATTGCAAATAGATTGTGCGTAAGTACAACTTATTAAAACTCAATATCTGAATTCGTGTAACTAACTGCAGATAAACATAATCAAATACAAGATAAATATCTCATTTTAAATATAAAAAAATCTAAAATATAATTAGGATAATTATTAATCTATACTATATTATAAAGCATTTGACAAAAACTTTTAAAAACCACTTTTTATGCGTAAAGTACTGTTTATTAATGCATATTACTTAAAAACTCAATATTGCAAGTAGATTGTGCGTAAGTACAACTTATTAAAACTCCATATCTGAATTCGTGTAACTAACTGCAGATAAACATAATCAAATACATGATAAATTTCTCATTTTAAATATAAAAAATCTAAAATATAATTAGGATAATCATTAAGTTCTAACAGAATACTTAATTATTATTTTTATAAAATTTATATTAGTAAACCAAAAATAAGTTAAATCAATATATAACTTAAATTGAATTATAATAAAAATAATAAATTAAAGAAATTACATAAAAAATGAGAACTTTTAATAGTTAATCATCATTGCTTTCTTAAAAACACATAAAATCGTATTATAACATCGACATAGACAAATAATAAAATAAAACATTAAAATCGAGATGTGTCTCGCTGCATTGCGCGAGTACTATTCTAGTAATAAAAAATAGAATCAAAGAAATTACACAAAAAATAAGAAATTTGAAATATTTAATTTGATATAAAAATCGATATATATATTTTTTCAAAATTTTATGATACCTTCAAATTTATATTTTATTCAAAAAAATAAATACATTATCGTTTTTTCAATACCACATAAAATCGTATTATAACATCGATAGAGACAAAATAAAACAAAACATTAAAATCGAGATGTATCTCGTTGCGTTATATGAATATTCTTCTAATTCAAATAAATAATGTCTTTATCGATAAATTCATAAGTCAACGTAACTTGAGTTGACCAATGTAAGTGAGATTTCGGATTTATAGTCATTTATTATCGTACATAACTAACTTTTTCAAGAAAATTTACACAACTAACTTTTTCAAGAAAATTTGAATGTTAATATATTACCATTTCAATATATTTTACTAAAAGAAAAACTCTATAAAATATTATAACATATTCATTTTTATTGATGATATCATATAAAATAATGTATCTTTCTTATATTGAGTTTTAAAACATCTTTTAACAGTCCATCTTATAATTTTTTTTAAATAGAGTATCAAAAGCTAAAACATCAACATTTATTATATTTTAGCAATTCTAATGTTAACTATATTATTAAAGTATTCAATACATTTAATAAAATATTATTTTTTTTATCTTCTAAAAAGTTTATTTTCAATACTTCTTATTGATGAGAAAGAATCAAAGTAAAATGTTACTTATCTATTCTATATAGAGTATTAGAGATTTTTCTAAATTTGGAGATCATCATCATATCTCTATTTTAATATATGTTTTAACTTAGTTATTGGAGCAAAAAAAAAATGTCAAATATTCAAAATATCTATTTTAGCATAATTGGTGAAGATGTTCTTAGGGATTTCTTCAAATTTGGAGATTTTTAACTTCTTTTTTCTATTTTAATATGAACTTTAGCCTAACTATTGAAGTAAAAAAAAACTTCATAGTCTTTAAGATCTCTAATTTAATTAACAAAGTTGTTAAATATGCTTTTATTAATACAAAATGGCATGCATATACAACATGTTTTTTATTCTTATAAACTCCATGTATTATAAAAAATCTCAATTACAATTAAGTAATACATCATCCAACTTTAGCATGCAGTTAGATTAGAGTAGAAACCTTAATTACCTCAAATAGGATAAAGTTTTGCCTGCAGTTAGTCCAGAAGACTCTCTTGTTTCTATCACCGGATTGTGTCCCAAGAGACTAGATAGCCTCTTCTTAAATACTCCTTAATTTGGCTACTCGATCATCGCAACGAGGTCTCCAACTCACACTTACCCACCGCCCAAGGCAATTATTAATTATTTAATCAACAATACATATTTTATTTTGATTGAATGCACCCCTTCCTCAGGGCAGGTTCTAAAAATTTTGATGCCCTGTGCGAAAATAATAAAAAATGCTCCTAAGCCTATTTTTGTAAGTCAATAAAACAATGAAATATGCGATTTTTTAAAGAGTTTATAACATATTCAAACTAAGTATCTCATCATGATGTTGATTTTTATTAACTATAATTAAAAAAATACAATGGAGGGGACATAAAAACCAAAACCCCGAATACAAAATATAAAATGATAAATCCTAGATTAAGATCGTGTTTTCTTCTTTTCCAGTTTTCCCTTTTCCAAATTGAAATTAGCAAAATAAAAATTTTATTTCAATATATGGAACTTAAAAGACAAGGAAAACTATAATTAGTTTTTAAATAAAATAGTAAATTAGATCCAAATTGTTGTCATAGTAAGCAAGAAGTAAAACTTAAAAGTTACAGGTCTGACGACTAAGGGCTAAACGCTTATCTGTTAGCAGCTTTATAAGTTTAATGGAACTAACAACTTATTCACTCAACTCTCAACTATGCATGACTGTTTCGTAGTGGCTTAATGATATAGAAAGTGACTTATCCAGTAAACTTCTAGGGGAACTTTATAGAAAACAATTTTTTTTTTTGCCAACATGTTCCTTTCAACTAAAAAAACGCTCTTTACATCTATGAAAAAACTCTCCCAAACAAAAACTTTTTCAACTTATACAAACAGATTAATTCATACAAACAACTTTATACAAACAAAAACTTTTCCAACTTTTTCCAACGATATGCATTCAGTATTCATCACTACTAAGCCTTGGGCCTGTTTTTATAGTTAAAGCTCAGTGGTCAAATTCTTAAATTATTAAACTCAAAACTAGTAATAAAGGATAATTTGATGCCCCTTTAGGCTTTGATGCCTTGTGCGGCCGCACGGGCTGCACATGGCTAGGGTCGGCCCTGCCCTTCCTATCATTTAAGTCAAAGTTAACTAATAAATGTTTTTCAAAAAATTATGTTTTATAATTTTTTTCAACATTGTTTTCTAATTTTATTTTTCTAAATTTATGTTTTATAATAAAATTTTGCCAACTAACTATTTCTAAATTAATTCAAATAACTATAAAATTATTTTTAATTTTTATAATTGTATTGTTAACATTTTAATTAATTAATAATTTATATATGTATATATATATATATATAGAGAGAGAGAGAGAGAGAGAGAGAAAGTTTGTTTCAAATGCAACCTATCACATTTGTACAACCAATGCAACCCAATAAATTGAAATATTTATGGAAATGATGAGAGTTCATTTATTATGATTTAAATATTTATGAAAGGTGAATAAAGTTCATTAATTATGATCAATATTTTATATTAAAAAACAATTAAAACTTCTATGAAATTACATATTTATCAAATTAAATGGACGGTTGAGATTGAGTTGTATCGGTTGTACAAATGTAAAAGGTTGTATAATAACCCACCTCTCTCTCTCTCTCTCTCTCTATATATATATATATATATATACACACTTGGGATCATGTGAAACCAAGAATTTTTCATGAGACCCGTAAGACCAATTCTTAACCCTTAGATTAGATCTACAATCTGAACATTCATAATCACAAAATTGTCATGAGACTTCTCAATAATTACAAAATTGCTACCGTGCAACTTCAGACCATTAGATCATTACCTTATAAAGTTGATCAATGAACATAAATTAGTCTTACGGGTCTCACGAAAAACCCTTGGTCTCACATAAACCCAACCCTATATATATATATATATATATATATATATATATATAGAGAGAGAGAGAGAGAGAGAGAGAGACAGAGAGAGAAAGAGAGAGAGAGGTGAGTTATTATACAACCTCTTACATTTGTACAACCAATACAACTCAATCTCAACCGTCCATTTAATTTGATGAATATGTAATTTAATAAATTTTTTGATTATTTCTTAATATAAAATATTAATCATAATTAATGAACTGTATTCATCTTACATAAATATTTAAATTATAATAAATGAACTCTTATCATTTTTATAAATATTTAAATTTATTTTTGAAACAAATTCTCTCTCTCTCTCTATATATATATATATATATATATATATATCTAAAATAAGTCTTTTATTATATCAAACCTTTATAATTGGTTCAAAATTAAAAAATATGTGAAAATATGATTGATAATCATGCAGGTGTATTATAAGAATTGTTTTATCATAATACATATCAATTTATCTCCTATATATATTATCATAAAATATTTATATTTACCAAATAAACATTATGTTGTTACTTCCCCCCCCCCTCCTCCGCGATTGCACAAAGTGGGACAATAATAACTAGTATTATGACTATTTCAGATACATAAGAATCTGATGATCAATAAATTTTATTTTTTTTTAATTTAAGAAAAAAACCATTCTTCCAAATCAAACAAGCAAGAACTCGAAGAGTCTCATTCAATGGTCATCAACTCGTCATGGTAGTGTGTTAAACCAGCCATACTTAAAATGTTTGAGAAATTAAAATTAATTTTTTCAGTAATTAAAGTATGCAGTCTTAGTTGTCCGTGCACGTGTGCATGTGCCATGCCCCTCCTAAACCAACAATACTTCAAATGTTGAGCAATTGAAATTAGTTTTGAAAAAAGTTAGTGTTAAAATATGCACTCTTCTTGTTCGTGTGTGCATATATATATATATTAGCTGTAGATCTCTGCAATAAGATAGGATGTAACAAGTTATATTAAATAAAAACATACAATTATAGTAAATTCAAGGTTGTACTTAAGGGTTGTTTATCTAAATATTTATTTTAGTAAGCTTTTACCGGTAAAATTCAACACTATCAACTGCATCATATTTAACAATTTATCCAGTAAGTGTTAACCGTGGTACGAGTTGTTGCCATTACTTACCAAGTAAGACTCTCGGTCATTGCCTTTGCTTTTATTGTGGAAGGTTCTTGGTATTTGTTATATTCATCCAGTAAAGTAATGTACTTAGTAAAAGTATACCTGGGTAAGCTTTTGATAAACAGCCTCTTAGAGCTTTTTAAAAAAAAAAAACTGATATATGTTTTTCCCAAGGACTCGAGTCTCAAAGTCATCCATTAAATTAAGTTTATGAACAATTTGGGACCGTTTACTAAATTCTCCTTATCAAATGAATATGACAAAAAAAAAAAAAATCTTACAAATAAAAATAATGATAAGGATCGAGAGTTTTACCAGGTAGACGCTTAACAAATAAATTGTTACATACAATGTCATTTTAATGGAATAAGATCTTATCCGACAAGTTAAGTTAAAGTATTTACGCTCATTGACAAGCGCTTATCGGTAAGCATTAGATAAACGACGTTTTAGTGTCCATTTTTATCCATAGACAAAAACAAAAGAATTTGTTTTGATTTATAAGAACATGTTTTACATAGATAACGTACAATCAACACGAGTTTCCAATTCTCTTTAGTTCATTTTTGATTTCATAAGATTCAATTTTCAATAACATAATTAACTGATCCTCTAATTATTCTTTCTCCATCCATGGGATATAAAAAAACAAATCGAAAGGAAAATAGTGTAGTTTTTTCACCTAGACTAAAAAACAAATTCAAACCAATTTTTCCTTTGATTCCCACAGGACGAAAAAAAAAAACAGAATGTGTTTGGTATGTTGTCATTTACACATTAATATTACTCAAGTAATCATTTGGTGGCTTGGAATCATTCGTGTTCATACAGTGGGCACAAAGTCCCACAGTGGTGGTGCAAGTGCATGCCGATACTATAGTCGTTTGCAAGTAATAGGGTGGTAAAGTATTAAGATCGTTTCCACATAGATTGTATCATTGAACTACCGAGAATTGAAGAATTTCATGAACTTCTTGAGCATATTTCGGTTTGTGATTAGAAGTTGGATTTTTGTTGGTGAAAAGCTTTAAAAGACGAAATAGACTTATAAATAAAAGATGGGCATGTGTGTAAGTATTACTCAAGACAAAAACAACAATATAATGGTCATAAACTTATGAGATGTTTATAAAAATTCCAATAACTCGAGTGAAGTTTTATAGACAGTGCCCATAAAATTCCCATAAAGTTCCCATTCCCATCGCTCCGAAGCTTGCTGATTTAGCTAAGTAGAAAAAGAAATATTAAACTGAAAACTCATACTCAAATCTCTTTGTAATACAAAGTTCGTATCTTTACGTAATTATCAAAGACTTTCTCAAATCTTCGTGCATTATTTAAACCGTATTTCGAATCCATCCATCACTGGGTCAAAGATTTAATATTAACACTTCAAAATGATCGGCTTATCCTTGTGAATTGTAGTCCCTACTTAAGTGATCAAGTTTACGAAGTGGTAAAGAATGAAAACACTCAAATGTTGCTTATAAATCCTAAGTTAACTCACACCCACACCCACAAAAGTAATTATCTCACAATAGACATGAAAAACATAATAGAAGACAAGAGATAAAACTTAAATGAAACTTTTGTTAAAATAGAAGAAGAGTTTGTTACCACAGTGGTGAAGCTGTGGGCAGAAGATTACTACTAAGAAACTTAATACAAGAAAATTAAATGCTAATACTTAAAACTTAAAAGTAAATGTGGAGAGACTTCAACTGAGATGGGATGATCTTCAAATGAACTCGAGGCTGAAAGATATGAAGAAGATTGCTTCAAAATTTGCCAAGTATAAAAGTCTGTAGAGAAGACTTCAGATTTCTGAAAAGCAGATTTACAGAGATTTGAACTGAAGATTGCTCAAACGACTAAGTCTAAGTCTTGATAGACTTATCTTCAGATCTCCGAACTTGAAGGCTTCAGAGTTCGGGCAACAA